TGGCACTCGTAGTACAGTTTGCGGTTATGGTACGATTGTCGTTTGCACATTCAGTAGCAAACCATTACTATTGATATCGATATCTGAAAACGGTTTTCAATAACGATATGAAAACTAGATATCGGTTAAGTAACCGTTGCAGATAAGAACTGAAAACGCCCATGCTTACTGCTTATACAATAAAGATGTTAGTTAGGTATTTATAGTAGGTACTTACTTACACCTTACACTCTGAAATAAAAAATAAAGTGCTTTTAGGGTCGATCCTCATTTGCCGTTCACAGTTCGTTCTCGGTCCGCTCTTGGTCTGACTTATTATAATGGAATGGGATTTGACCGAAACTTGACTGTTACGGATAGTATGAATGCACACACATATTTTTTTACTTGATAATATTTTAACAGACCGAAATCTGATCGTTAATGAACTGTGAGCGGCATTATAATGAGGATCGGACCTTAATGTTCCACCACGTTTAATAGAAAGAGTTTTCTTTTTATATACTTTAATGATTAATAAACTTTTTCTCTTGTCGAAATTCACAAGTCAAGTCAAGAACAAAATACTTTTAAGATACTTTTGCGGAAAACAAGGGCAAGGAGGAGTGAAATGCTATATCTATATCTTTTATTTTGAAAGTCAGGCCTTTTTCAAATTTTGTTCATTAGTTAATTTTTAAAAAACGTGGCGTCTAGATCATTTTTAAAAATTTGTAAAAATAATCTGAGGGGACTTATAACTGTGCTAGAAAGATGACGGTTTTTTGAAACCTTGAATAAATATTCTAAATAGGTTGATTTAAGCCTACAGATACTGAAACTCAAAGTTCAAAATATCGAAGTCTAGAATTTTATGTAATTTAGAAGTGAATTCAAGCCGAATATGCTGCTTACTGTATTTTTAATAAAAAAAGTATACTCCTATAAGAAAATAATTATCTATAAGTATATTATTCAAAAGTAGGTACGTCCGTTCGTCTAAAATATATTTACGACGTACGTTATTGATATCCCGTAACTTATTGTACGTCCACTATATCCATTTTTGTATATAATGTGGCGTCTTATTTGCTTCCGACATCCGTATATTGGATTGTCAATTTATTAAATTATTTTGGTCTATATTAGCCAGTGTTTTGTTAAAAAAAACATAATACAATTGCACTTATACATATATAATACAACATGTACAATGTACTACTCCTAATTACCTATTAAACCCACATTGTGTCTGGTGTCTGGTGACTTAAGGAACTTAGTCTTTCAACTGCGTTGACTCTAACCGTCATACTCCATTGACTGCGGAGCTGTTTAATAAAATTAACGGCGCATTGGGCGCAATCCGTTTAAACGCAAATTTCTTGAATTTGGTATATCATATACAATTATATATATACATTTCTGAATTCTCTATGAAATTTCCTATAAAAGAGTACATAAATTTAATAAAGTCCTAAAGTAATTAGTGTAAGTAAATACTGAGTAAAGTCAAAATTGTTATATTTCTCGATGAAACAAAGTTTTTTAATAGTTCAATTTTGTTTAATTTTAAACTTAAATCTATTGTTTACAATATTTTGTGTGCAAAATCATAGGCTACAATACAATTTTTCATCATAAAACGCATTAATAATAAGCTTACAAGAACCCACAACCAACTTACACCGATTTAGAATGTAGTTCGGACCAGAGCGGCATGCGTTAGTCAATAAAAAATAGTATTTTTTTATTTCTTTAAAAATATATACTTAAATTCATGAAGAAGCATGTGGTTTTTTTCCAGGACTAGTTGAAACTCTCTTTTTCCTTACATGATTCAGTCATCTTTTTAAATAGATCTTGCTAAGTTTTACAAATCTCACAAAGTATTTCATAAGTACTCTTAATGTACTGTGTAAGTAATCAAAATTTTAGCCGTAAATGCCATATTTTTAAAAAATTTATTACTTTACATATTTGAACAAACAATTTTCAACAGCGCTTGTAGAAAAATAAAGGTCCATTCATTCCCTTAAAAGCCATAAAACCATTAAAGGTGCCGATGTACAGTCTAAAATAATGGTTTTTGTAAACAATACTCGACCATAATAGTGTCGAGTGACAAAGCCGTTCAAAGGCGGCGCAAGGTGCGCGGCGGTTATTTTACATTTCCAATTACCAAAATAATCAACATATTTCCTTCGACACAAATAATATCTACGAAATAATAAAATTTAAAATAAAAATATCTCTTCCTGAAATAAAAAATATATTATGGATATATATTTTAAAGAACCCACTTCTTAAGCTCCAAAAAATATGCCACAATTAAAGTCCGATTTTTTTCCTAGTTCATTAAAACATTTTTTATACGTGGTAGAGCCATGCTGCAGTTAAATTAGAAGAATAGTTGCAGCACGAATACTTTGGCTCGACCGGGGAAGGACAACGCTCTCACAGAAAACCAGCGTGAAATAATAGCTTAATGCTGGCTGTGTTTCGTATGGTGAGTGTAGAGAACCGGAGACGGTTTTTACTGGAAATGAGGCATTCCGTTTTAGTCCTCACGGGTGACAACGCATCTGTATTTTGATTTGTAATCGAGGGTGAGATGAGTGAGATGAAGATATTTATGGGCCACAGCAACTACTCACAATCTGTGTGCTCGTTTGTCACCCTATCCTATAGAGAAAAAAAACATACAAAATAAAAAGGTGTATTCGTTTCAACGACGAGAGCCGTGGTGGCTCAGAAGAGCCACCACGGCTCTCGTCGTTTCGTTCGTAATTTCACAGTACGCTCGCAAACCGGGTGCATCTTCGCTGGCATCAATGAAATTGTTAATTGCAATTTTAAGTGCTGATCTACCACGTGCTGAGCGGTGAAAGAAAACATCGTGAGGAAGTCGGACTGTCTGAGAAATAAGAAAAAAATATTTCGAGGACATATTTTTTTCGCCATGAAGTTCGCCAACACGCATAGGGGTAGCTCAGCCGGCACTTCTTTGCCCTAAAACCCTCTCAGAAGTGAGGGAAGGCCCGGCTGTGGGACGTAAATAGGCTGTAACTTAACCAACTTAACTATTTAGTTATATATAGTCTGAAATAATTAGCTGAATAAATTATAGTTAGTTGAATAAATATATAACATGGCTCCTCATTTCTTTAAAAGGCTCCTGGTACTTTTGTTGGCTTTACTGTATCTACAGTACTATTCATTTACGAATGGTACTGTTAGTATTTTTTTTATAGGATAGGGTTGCAAACGAGCACACAGTCCACCTGATGGTAAGTGGTTGCTGTGGCCCATAGACATCCACATCTATCCTCCATTACGAATCAAAATGCAGATGCGTTGTCACCCGTGAGGACTAAGATGGAATGTCTCCGGTTCTTTACACTCACCATACGAAATACAGCAGCATTAAGCTACTATTTCACGCTGGTATTCTGTGAGAGCGTGCTCCTTCCCCGGTCGAGCCGACCCATTCGTGCTACAACTATACCTCTAAAGTAAAAAAAAAGTAGCAGCAATCTTGCTCTAGGTTGAAACATAACGCAACGTTACACGCTTTGCATTTTGATTTATGAATTTTGCAAAGTAAATACACATAAAATGTACATGTGCAAAAAACCGATATAAGGAATATGTGCCTGAGGTGAGGCGATTTGTGTCACATCCATCTGTCAAATGAAGCCAGTACCGATCTACCTAGGCAAAGTACAAAATGAATAATATTTCAGTTTACCTTTTAGGTATGTTGTACATTGCCTGGGTATATAATCTCGGTTTATACAGATTACCGATAGCATATTTATTTATTCTTTTGGCAACAAACTATATACCTAATCTAATAGATTATTTCAGATGCTACAACTCCAACTGAATCTCGAAAACAAAGGGATGCTTCTTATTACGTGAATCTAAGAAGAATGTCATTAGTAAGTAGCCTATTTTTATTTATGGTCATACGCTTTTCTAAAAGGTACATAAATGTTATACTTACTGGCCCGTTGGACCAAGGGTAGTCTCCTACCTTCTGAGCCAGGGGTCGTGGGTTCGATCCCCGCCCAGGACAAACACTTAGTGATGAACATTGTGTTTGTTCTGTATCTGGGTGTAATATATTTATTATGTATTTATTTGTAATAGCTTCGTTGATTCTGATTTCCGTAACACAAGTGCTTAAGCTACTTAATGTTATAATGGTCTCCCTGCTACACGGTGCATTCGGATAGTATAGAAAGCGTCCAAAAAAAGAGCCCTTAGAATACTTAGCTACAAATGTGGTCTTGGTCGCAGTCTTGTCGGTTATAGTGAGAGACTCGACAAATTTAAAATGACCTCTTTACTTATTCGCCGTAAGGAATATGACCTTATATATTTACATAAAATTCTCCACAATGAGATCGATTCCGGTTACCTCTTAAGTAAATTAAACTTAATTACAAAGCGCAATCCCCGAATTCCTAGCAAGACATTTTACCTGCAGACTTACAAGAATAATACTTCTTTTTACAACCCGATAATAAGAATGTGTCGACTTTACAACGAGATATCCATGAAAGACTCCGGCTTGGATATTTTTGACCCAAGATCAAGGATATTCAAAAGAGCAGTAAAAAAGAGCTTAAAGTCATACACACTCCTTCACATATGACATAGATTTTAAATTTGTTGCTTGTAAATTTTTTTTGTGTTATGTAATAATGTACGGCATTAATATTGTTTATATTGTTAAGCGTAGATTCGATCTTCCCTGTAGTAAAATATGAAAATGATGTGTCAACATACTTAGAAAAACAATCTGGCACAAAACTGTTATATGTATATGTATAATTTTTAATGTATTTTGATTGTTATCTGTTTTGTTGTCCATATAATAAATAAATAAATAAATGGGAGGTTCGGGGAATAAATGAAGCGTATAATGATCTTGAATGTAGATTTATTACTGTCGAATCTATCTTAGGCTATCGTGTATATACCTACATACACTACATTATCTCGGCATCAGATCGATGTGTGTGATGTCTCATTGTCTAATTCATTTTATTTTACAGAGATCCAGACGTAATCTCCCATCATACGCACCGCCAAATACTAGCATTGATGATTCATTTGATATAATTGATAATGAGAAACATAGGGATGAAACATATCTACAGTCTACGGACGACGATACTGCAAATAGTTCAAATTTAAATAACGACTTGACGGATACTCTGATGGATGATATAACGAATGATGCTGATGACTCGGATTCGAACTATAACGAAACATGCTTGCCAGATCAAAGACCAATGACTGACATCGAGACACCGCGGAATACTTTGTTGTCAGATTCAGTTGCAACTTCTAGTCCTCCTCTGCTAGATGCTGACAGCAACGTTATTATCGAAGCGAACGCAAACATTCTGGCTGATAACAGTAATAATTCAGTTATCCAAAATTCTGATTATTTAAATGTGTTGGAACAACCTCAGAACCCAATGCATAGTGAAAGTGGTCAATCGTGTCTTACTATAACTAACCAGTCCTTATCAAACGTATTGGAACAATCTCCGTACCAAATGCATGTAAAACTAAGTAATCCTAATGAATGTAATCTCACAAAAAATCACACAATAACAAGCCAATCATTATCACAAGACCATACCACTGAGATACAAGATTCAGTACCTACTACGTCAAGTGGCGCTTCCAATGATGGCATTCCTAATTTTTCTAATGACAATAGCTCTGAGTTTGACGACTCTGACAAAGATCCAACGTACATTTCTGCATTCGAGAAACCCTCCAGTATCACAAGTTATACTGAAGAAACGGAAGAAGTATTGAATAAGACACATCAAAATCAGCAATTGTGTCTTAGACGTCGTAGCTTAGAGGAACCCCAGGTGAGATCTTTTCTTTATTACTTAAATTCTGAAACCATGAAGCTGCAATAATCAACATTGTATGCTCATGAATATATTTATTTCACAATATGAACATAAATCAGGAATATGAAGCTTTAGTTTTGCTACGCGACAGAAATATTTCTTTTTTTGTTTCACATCAAATCTTGAAGATAACTTTCTGATTTTTTTATTCAAATCAATTAAAACTGTACAATGTTCATGTTGTTAAAAAAAATGTTGGGCATAAATATTAATTTTGAGGATTCTTAGGGAGATAACTATTTAATTTGTGACTAAAAAAGGATGCCTCACCTTTAATTTTAGAATGCCTATCCCTCTAGACACTTATTGTAACAAAATACAATCACGAGAGCCTAAGTGCTTCTTGAGACATTCCGGTAACGTCCTGTAATTAATGCACGTTACTGTACCGTATGTTATCGTGCGGCAAGAATTACAGAACGTTACCGGATGTGAAAATGTTGATAATTCATAAAGCAAATTTATTCTGTAATTCATTGAAATGTTCTTTTTTAGGATTTGACAAGTTGCCAAAAGACGAAAGAGTTGAAAAGAACCAGAGCCAGGGATTATTGTTTTTTTTGTGAGGTCGATGTGCTAAATTTTGCGAGACATCTATTGCGGAATCATTGTACGGAACCCGAAGTACAAAATATTATCTCTCATCCTACGAAAAGTTGCGTACGCAAAAACCTAATAACCAACTTACGCAAAAGAGGAAACTATATTCGGAATGTTATAAAATGTGTTAAACCTATGAAAAAGAGTAATGTTTATCCACACATCGATTACTTACCATGTGAAAAATGTTTAGGCTTCTACTCTAGGAAACAATTGTGGAAACATAAGAAGACATGTCAACCGTTATCCGATACCGCCAACACTCAAGTTCAGTCTCAAAATTTTATGTTACGCAACCTAAATATTGACAAAAAAACTTAAAGATGAGGTATTTCCAAAAATGAGACCTGACAAAATATCACTAGAAGCTAAAAGAGACACGTTAATCTGTGCGTTTGGAGCCCAATATTTAAGGATTCATCGAGAAAAACACTTCGTAAACGTTACATCGCGAAAAATGAGAGAATTGGCTAAATTGTTACTAGAATTGAAGACGCTGAAACCGTCACTTAAAAATTTGATGGATTGTTTGAAACCTCAAAACTATGATCTAATTGTTACTGCAACTAAAAAAGTATCAAGTTACAATTGTAAAACAGATCGCTATGGTGCTCCAACATATGCCATGAACATCAGCACTAGCCTAAAACAGTGTTGCAACATAGCCATAATGACTGCATTAAAATCAGGCAGCAGTGTGGAAACTGCTGCAGTAGAGGCTGATCTAAAGACGCTAATTCATCTCATCAAGACTAATTGGAAGTTTGATGTTTCAAGCCAGGCCTGCAATGACTTAAACTTAAAAAAATGGAATAAAATTACAATTGTTCCTCTTGCGAAAGACTTAAAACTCCTTAAAAATTATCTTTGCGAAAAATCTAAGTCTGCAGCATCTAAGTTAATAGAATCCGAAACTAGCAATATTGAAGCGTACAACACTCTAGAGACAGTTTACTGCCGCGTTCTTCTTCTCAACAGACGTCGGCCTGGTGAACTGCAACGTCTCCCACTCAGCATCTACCAAGAGAGCAGCAATGACAAAAGCGCATATGAGGAATTTGACCGAGCTATTTCAAGTGCGGAAAAAGTGTTGGTAAATAGTTTTAAGCGTATTGTTATACGGGGTAAAAGAGGTCGAGGTGTGCCCGTTCTGTTGACTGACGAAGTCCAAAGTGACATCAATTTGCTTATCTCTGTGAGACGTAATTACATATGTGAAAAAAAACGACTTTTTGTTTGCAAAACCCTGATCTGAAAGTACATTATGTGGTTATAAGGTCTTGAAAAAGTATGCCACTGCAAGTGGAGCTCGAAATCCTGCAGCTATTACTACGACTAAGCTACGCAAACATTTGGCTACGTTGACTCAGATGTTTAACCTTAAAGAATCAGACATTGAACAACTAGCTAACTTTATGGGGCACACACAGGCTGTCCACAGACAAAACTATAGATTACCCGATGACGTGTATCAGACGGCCAAACTATCAAAACTACTGCTGCTGATGGAGAGTGGCAAAGCAGACTCTTATAGAGGCAAATGTTTGGATGACATAAACTTAGATTTAGAACAAGATTTACTAGAAAACGCACAGGGCCACGATAATTACGACAGTGATGAATTAATAGATTACGATGCTGCATTACCAACTGAAAAATCAAAAGAAACGGAGTTCACAGACGATAACCCTGTCCTTACTCCGCAGTCAACTCTACTTAGCGATGCTACCAATGCTACACATATTAAAACAAAGAAAAAAACGAAACCTTGTTCCTTGGACCACAGAACAGAAAAGTATAGTTAAAAAGTTTTTTTAGCAAACATATTAAAAATAAACAACCGCCAAAACGCCATGAGTGCGAGGAACTTCGTAGTCAACATACTGAAATTCTGCACAACAAAGACTGGTTAAAAATAAAAATCTTCGTCCAAAATGCCTATACAAACAACAAATAGCCATATTCGGGAATTCTCCTACGAATTACTGTGGTATTTTTGTTTAGTTTCGTATTTTGTTTTTAAAACATTGCTGGTTGTCAAAATTCCATCTCGCTCTCTTAGTCCAACCTTATCGAATTTAATGATTGATTGGATACGTGAATGTTTGTCTGTGTGGCTGCCTGTCTGTGACACCGTAGCTCCTAAAGAGGTGAACCGATTTGGGTGCGATCTTAAGGTCATAAGCTTTTTTCATAGCTGATGAAGGGATCTCAGTAACTTATATTATCGGTTTACGTCATGCTGCACTATATTTTTACATTTTACATTTATGTACTGTACAGTACTAAACTGCCTATAAGAACTTTTGTTATGTCGTAAGCAACCCATAATTCTGTTGGAGTATAAATTACCTTCTGATTGAGTACAAAAAGATGGAGTTAATTGTAGATATTGACAGGTTTTTAAATAGAAGTTTGTTTTGTTATATTCTGACTAATAACCTAATATGGCCTTGGGAAGAAATTCATTTTAATAAAAGGTTTTACTGGATTAGTTGCCAAAGATTTGTTAATTCCTACAACAGACCGTGGCATAATTTTGCTGACATGAATAACTCCGAAAATATAATTTATTTACTTGATCGTGTTGAGTTTTGATGCTCTCACTGCGAGTTTACTGTTTATGATCACTATCTTAAGGATGAGTGCGACTATTGTACCTAATCTGTAAGAAATTACTATCTACTTAACTTGATTTTATTTTGTGAAAGGCTATTTTTGTTAAATTATGATATGTTTGGTTTTGCATTTAGTTGAAATACAATTATAATTTTTATTCATATTGGACGCTATATTACTAAAAAACATGCATATCGTGCTTTATTTGGCGTCCGTACTGTGACCTACGCACATTAAGAACTTTCCACGCTTGTTTGCTTGCATTTTAGTTTCCTTAGTTAAACTTGTTTAAGTTGATTAATGTATAGTTGAGTATTTACCCATATACGGCCGTAAGAATATCCTAAAATATTCTCACAAAGTTTTATTTGACATCCATTTCTTTGATATCTGATGTCCAATGTTGTTGATTATTGCGTTTTACTATTTATTTATGTTGATTACTTATTTATTTAGTGCTCAAGGTATATTTTGGTATTTTTTGTCGGTTTATACTGTACTCAGTGCTATTTTTACTTTCAAATTTCTTTACGTGTCCTTAGATTTAGCTACATATAATAATACGGACGTTCGAATATCCTAAAACATTCGTACAGAATGATATTTAACGTCCATACTTTTGAATTTTGTTATATTTTTATATGTGGACGTCAGATTATCGGTAAAGTTTCATACCGCACGATATTTGACGTCCATATAACCATGAATATATTTATATTTTAATTCCTTGTGTATAAAACACACTTTAATGACCATTGCTTTAATGACATTTTTCGCTATTGTTTTTATATTACAGTGTAGGGATGCAATGCGGTGTAAAATAGTCACTTTTTCTAGAACAGTTTTTTCACATTACACAATTCTAGAAATGATAAAACGCTTAGAACACCTTTCTTATTTCTTTTTTAATTAATGTTGCCGTTTGTAGCGGTTTTTGGGGCACTGTGTGCGTCAAAAGTTTTGCTCTAAATTACTACCTATGTTATTTCAAGTGCCAAATTGTGTTAATTATGTTCCTTATTATAAATCTTTATTCTAAGTATCTACTTCATTGAACAAATGTTTGAAAGAAGATGCTTGTTCAATAAACGTTTTATTTGATCTCAATATTTGTTTCATTTTACATCAGTACGTATTTACAATTAAAGTAAATAATAATATATTCAATCTATAATTTATCACGGCTCGGCAATTTTTGATATTTTTTGTATTGACTCAACGAATAACTAGTTGGTAAATTAATCATGATACATAGTCTATTTTTTTTGCCGTAGACAAAAAATTATATTTTCTGAATTTCACATTGCACATTCTGTACATTTATTTCATTATTTTGCACAATATACGAAACTTAAGTGACTAAAATTAAATCTAATCTGAACCAGAATGATAAAAACTATATTATTCGTGCTAAACGAATCAAATATATTTTTAATTTGACGTAAAGATGATTCGACTCGACCGGGGAATCACTACGTTCTCACAGAATGCCAGAGTAAAATCGCTGCTGTGTTTTGTATGGTGAGTGTAGAGAAATTCAAATTTAAATTCAAGTTCATTTATTCGTTGGCAATATATGGGTTACAATAGGTCTTAACAATTTAACAAAAAATACTGCAATATTCTTCCTGCCGGTGTGAAAAGTAATAATTAAATACAAAATATTTTTTATTTTATTATTAAAATGAAAATTTCTGATAATTATATTAACATAAAATAATCTTATTCTTATTACTAACATCATAATAATTCACATTATAATGTGTTAAGATTAAATTATATAGTCAATTAAAATTTTGCGGTTATATTCAATAAATTTTATAGTTCTACATTAAACAAAATATCACCTATAAATAAAATATTACAAAACAGAATAACTAATAAGAGTGGCAACGTCGCACTATACAAAGGAATTGCGATAAGCAGGAGAATGAATTAAAAACTATGTCCGTCTGGCAATATACGTATATTTGTATATCGACATATACTAAATATTCAAAAAAATGAGTTGAACACTATCTTTGAATTTGTTTAATGGACCAATATACGCTGTCATAGTTTTCAAAAAATTGCCTACAAGTGGTGGACGCTATAATAATGCGAAATGAAAGGACGTAGAATCAATATCGTGATGTATATATATATATATATATATATATATATATATATATATATATATATATATATATATATATATATTGTCTATGGGCCACAGCAACCACTTACCATCAGGTGGGCTATGTGCTCGTTTGTCACCCTATCCTATAAAAAAATTAAAAAAAAAACTATGATTGAATGAATCCATCTATAAACTAATAAAGTTAAAGCTTCGATGGTGCCACAGCTGGGAATTATCCTCACTATTAAGAGGGTTGTGGAACAATTTCACCATGCTGCTCCAGTGAACATTGACGGAATGAAATTGATATATAAACATTTATTTATTTAACGTAGGAAAATATTTGTTTTAAAGAATAAGGGTGACGTTAGAGCACACAGTCCACCTGATGGTATGTGGATGCTGTGACTCGATTTCTCGATTTAGAATCAAAATATAGATGCGTTTTTACCACGCTAGTATTTCGTTAGATTTCGATAATCTTGCGCGATCGAAAAGAACAACTCGTGCTATAACTATAATATAGTTGGAGCGGACACTACCACGTATATATTAATAATGTATGTATTAAGATATATATAAACGAGAAAAAATTGCCAACAGCCATTTCATACTCGTACACGTTAAGTATTACACATAGAGATATTTGTGTTCTCACAGCACAGCTATCATAACTTAGAAACTCAAGCATTCGTAGAGAAATCTTAAGCTCGCGGCGTGTAAACTTCTGCATTTATTTTAGTAAAGTTTTGTCTCCTTATTACTAGAGATCTGTTATGCTGCCACCACAAGGAATTGCAATGTGCTGGTAACAGATTACCTCCATAACTCCATTTCATTCCGTGGTTATCGTAAGATCGGACTAAAAGAAATTCCATTAGAATCATGATGATTGTATTACGAGCATCTCTTTTACGGCACACGTAACCCAGTCCGAAGATGGGCAGTAGCGTCAAAGGTGCGCAACGTCTGCCAGTATGATCGTGAATCCGCCTTTCAAGCGTATTTTTTAGATAAATCCTTCAATCAACGGGAAAAGTCCATGACTTTTACGGGTCTAAAAGAAAGAGAGAATTACAAAAGTTAAAGTCTCAGCACTCGCCTTTAATTTTATGATACGCGAACAATCCAAGTTCGATCCCTAAAAATGAAAATTGAAACAAAGCTAAAATCATTAATGATACATGTTAAATATAATAAAGGACTACTAATTTGGGGTTATTTATATTCAAGATAATTAAAGGCGATTTATTTGATCATCTTTTATTTTTATCAAAAAAAGTTGTGTTCATTTGTAAAGTTTCACGACAATCGGTTCGGTCGGTCGACACAGCAAAGAGGTCAGTTATTTGAATATTATAGACAGACACTTTAATTTTTTTATATGTATAGATTAGATAATACATATAGATTAAAATATACAATTCTTATTATCGTAAAAAAAAATCCAATCGGTATTAACGCCCTAGTTTCTCTAAATTATCGGTTTCGAGGGGAAATTTCTCCTTATGAACGCAGTGGTTGCAGAAATTAAGCCGCAATAAATAATTATGTTCCAGCAATGTAAAGAGGATCTCCTGTTTTATTGTGATCAGAAAATTTTTATCTCTTTTCACAATCACACAAATAATTCAATAAATGGTAAATATTACATGTAGACTCCAAATTACTTGTTTTTTTATTTTAGTTTTAAAGATTATTACTCATTTAAAACATAAACAAAAATGCTAAAGGAAGCTACTTTTACAACTCTCTCCATAATAAAAATTCTACTGAGATGTGGAAATTTCTTCGTTCTGTTAGTATCGGCAGGTCTCCGATCTTGGAATAGAAAGGCATACTCCACCTTAATCAAACATGTTACTCACGTTGTCGGGTACACCGAAACCACACATACCCTTTCATCATTCCCTTCTGATGGAGGAAAATTGAAAAAAAAATCCATCCTAGCAATCTCTTCAAATGCTGTTCGTAATGAAGGTCTATACTCGAGGATGATTATGCCAGTTCACCTCTAAATCTTCCAATTCTGACTCACATATGTCATTTTTCCATATCATCCTCATC